TCTTTTGGAGTGTTTAAGAACTCTGCTGATTGAAGTGGCAGCATAGTTAATCTGTAATGGAACAAACGAGTTGTTAGATATCAGGATGATGCTCTATAAATATAGCCAAATCAAAGGTTTTCCATTTCTCTCTTTATGATTAGGAGATAACCTGCATGCTTGATGTACTCAAGTAATCATAATAACAGATGTGTAGTACTAGAGTGGATATTACCATCAATTGGAATAAAGGAAAAATATAAGGATGATATCATCTATAGGCATTATTGACTTGCATGAGGTAATCGACATGCACAATTGAATATTCGACATAAAAGTGGATCATGTTCAGTTCAAGTGGTAAGTTCAGATAAATTCATGGATATGCATGCCTTCCTATCTACCATATGAACAGCTCAAGAGGAACAGAGTTCGTTTTGCGGAGTTATAGGACTTCTATTTAGGAGATCAATGTATCACATTTGGGAGGAAATCAATAGGGCACTTAAGTTTCAGTGTGGTACATGTAGTCCAATATACATTTAGGCATTTAGCAGTCTTAAAAGATTAACAATCCACCACACTGTGATAGATCTATGGTAAATAAAGATTCAGAACAGATCTATGATCTCAGAATACTACGTTACGGTTCATATTTTTCAGAATGTTATCCAAATTGAATACACAGTGATTTTGAGTTTCTTGGATGAGACAGAAGCCTTGCGAGATTTGGTAAAGTAAGAAAAAGATAAATGCCAATCACATTAACAAAAATTCTCTGATACAAGCAACTTTCAGAAAAAAAAACATATATCTCATGTTAGATCCCAAGTTGGTGGCGTCATCATATTTGTGCAATCTAGAAACTCCACCCAACAAACAAATTTCTGAGCTTAAATAACATGCCTAACATGTTGCCAAGCTTACTTGTCATAAACCCCAAACGTTAAAGATCTGCCCATAAACTGATGTTCTGAAAGGACAGTGAATCTGGGAAGAAATGATAAATCCATTGTAGAACTGAGAATTTAGAATACCAGTGCTTGTATTGTCACTTAAATCCCTAAAATAGCGTACCACTTAAGATCAGCTACAACTCCAGAGCATTCAAGTACACGGAACCAGGCTTGCTGCTTCTTGTGGTGGCAATGGTGGAGGCAATGGGGTCGAAGAAGAAGAAAAACAACATAAGGCACCCAAGTTTGAAAATTAACATCCTGTTTTCCCATGTGACATCGAGCGATGGATATGAACCATAGGACGAGTCTACACCAAAGACATGGTGGAATTCGCAACCACTACTACAAAAACGATTTTTAGCAACGGGGGCTTTTTTTTGTAAGGGCGGCTTCACTACCAACCGCCCCTACAGTGGGTGAGCTCGGGTCCCATGATTTCAGCCGCCCCTACAAATCTAACAGTAGGGGCGGCTGGTGATACGAGCCGCCCTACAAATGAGTAGATTTATAGGGACGGCTAGCTCACCAGGCGCCTCCGATGTTGTGATTTGTAGAGGTGGCTCAATCACCAGCCACCCCTACAAATGTTGCACGTACAAAAGGCTGCAGCCTCCTTCCTCCTCCTCGAGTCGCTCACTCGCACCCCACCTCCACCAGCTCGCTCCCTCCCTCCCTCCCACACCGCGACACCCTCCTCGCCTCCGCCGCCCTCCTTCTCGCCTTCCCCGCGCAGATCCGGCCTCCTCCTCACCTCCCTTGCCCTCCTCCTTGCCTCCACTGCGGCGGCGTGGAGCCCCGGCCGAGGTAGCGCATGGGTGCTGGCTGGTGGCCGGCGGTAGATCTGGCCACGGCGGGCCTAGATCCGGTCCCCACCCCCACGCGGCAAGCGGAGGCTCGGAAAGGGGCCCGCCCGGAGAGACGGGATGCAGCGGAGGCCAGAGGACGCCATGGAGGAGGTGGAGGCCGAGGCGACGCCCAAGGCGGCGGCGGGGCCGGAGCTAGGGTTCTGGCTCGCGGCGCGGCGGCGGCTAACACCCGATTGCCCCTTCCACGCCGCCGCTCCATGCCTCGACATCGTCGCCCACCACCTCGACGAAGAGAAGTCCTCCAATCCCATCGAAAACATGACCATTTTACCATTCCCGGCCTAGCAATCCACTTAGATGTCTGAGCAAGATTATTGTACTTATCTGTAGGGTTGATAGATTATTGCTGATTCTTTGATACTCTGATTGTGATACTCTTAGACTTGTTGAGGTCTTACAGTCTAGCATTGTTTTACGGTCAAGCATTCTGTGTTTCAATACTATTTCCAGGAAATAGTTTCAGGTTAGGTAAATGCAACTGGATTGGTTTTCTGTATATGAAATTTGCCAATGAGATAGTAGTAAAAATAATAGCAAAAGATAGTAGTAAAAATAATAGCAAAGGATCATCATGCCTCTGTTGGTCATGTTATGTTCTTCACTGGTCGTGTCGGTTTTTTATCTAACGGCTCTCCTTGAAAATGCCAAATGCCCCTCTAGTGTAGCTGTGATTATTAGTATGTTTGATCCCTAAAGACAGGAGAACTTTCCTTTTGTTGCTATAGTTTCTTGCACTGTGCAGTGACTTGGTACCTTGGTGTATATGAGACATGAAGGTATTTCACTAAGCATGAAATGAAATGAAAGCATTTGATGTAAGCATTTGATGTATTTTTATATCAGTAGTAGGTGCTTGGTTGGTGTTTTCCTTCCTGGGACCTTCAGATATGATCTAGGTCTTGTCGTGATTAATTTCTATCTCATTAATTCTATTTTACAGTAATGATCTGATATATTGAATCTTATAGGCAGCATGGGTTGCTGGGCAGTATGCCCATATCAACTTTTCAGACCCGAACAATTTTCGTCAGGCTATGCACTGTATAGTCTCGGGAATGCGTGATCCAGATCTTCCTGTGAGGGTTGATTCAGTCTTTGCACTTCGTTCTTTTGTTGAAGCCTGCAAAGGTTATTATCTGGTATCTCTAGTTCTAAATTGTGGACACCAGTTCAGATAATGATTATAATTTTTATCTCTAGTTCTAAATTGTGAACCAGATGGACTGCTATCCTATTTGTGTAGGACTGGTATATAGACTAGTCTTCTCCTTGATGGTTTTTAAACACTCCCAGATGTATATTAAATGGTTATCGGGTAATTGCACACATTGTCCTTTGGGCAGTTTTGTAATGTTATACATGAACGTAATGATATAGTTTTAGTTGCATGGAATACGCATTTGCTCATTCATGAGTTACTGCTGTTAGCAGATGAAAGCAGTAAAGTCTATCCTATTAAGATTTGCACAGAACATAGGCGTGTAAAAAGGACAGGTCTGGTGCAGTGGTGAGAGCTGTCTCACTGAGTTACAAGGTCGCGGGTTCGAAACAGCCTCTCCGCAGATTTTGCGTGGGGAAGGCTTCCCTCGGTTTTTCCCTTCCCCAGACCCCACTCATGTGGGAGCCTCCGGCACTGGGTCTGCCCCCCTTATAGGTTCGCTTGATGTCACTAAGCTAATCTCCAACACTGTAGCTACAAGCTATTGTCTAAAACTAAGTCGTCTATGGCCTGGCACTACGTTGTGCTCTTTTTACATTTTTTTGTGTTCATTCAGTTTTGGTTTTGATCCCATGTACATTTTAATTTGGTTTGGTGTGTTGTATTGTATGTTGGTATTTTTGTTAAATTTATTTCTTGAAAAGATTTTTTTTAATAAGCATGAGGTCTGATCTGATGAACAAAGTGACTAGTTCTATGTGAACATGTTTTCCATTGTGAGAAGTAGTACTTTCTGCATATGTTGTCTGTGAGTGCAGCCTTAAAATAGAAGTACTCTTCATGTTAGTCCAGTTTTCACGGTTTGACGTTAGCTATTTTTGGTTACCTTCCTACATATATTCTTGTTCCTTTGGACAACTACATTTCCCGGGGAACTGATCACTTTCTTGCTTGCAAAGATCCAGATTACCAGCAAAGCCTGTGGCATGCACTACAATCTGTAAGTTTTGCTTAGAATGATAAATTAACTTTTGATGTTCTGGACAATACTAGTGCTACTACTTTTGCTGAGAAGCGCCATTGCTTGTAGATTATGATGGACGAAAACATGGAAGATTCTAATATTGAACCTGCTCCCAAGCTCATTGAAGTGGTTTTTCAAAATTGCAAAGGCAACGTGGATCAGTGGGTTGAGCACTACCTCAGGATTAAAATTGAGCGGTTACGTCGAGCAAAGAAACCATACTTGAAATGCCTCCTTGTACAAGTGGTAAGATGCTACATGAACACTCCGATTTTACTATTTTATTTCCTATCTCAGCGCCGATTGGTTTTATTGAGCACAAAAACCATGTGGAGTGTCTTCATGTCTGAGTTGTAAGATGCAACATCAGCATGCCATATGTGTTTTTCTGATAAAGTACTAATCTTTTGGAGAGTTTTTGCTAGTTTTATCCACTATTGGTCCTCTTTTGTTCTAGTATTGTGGCTAGTAAGGGGATGGGATTTATCTAGTGAAATTCAATATTTCTGTACTTGTATAAAGGCAAATATCATACCTATCTTTTAAACTCATACAGAAGGATATTTACATATGGCCCACTAGCTGTTTATGTTGGAGCCGAGCTCCGGCGAGCGAGCCCGGCGACGACGCAACACCCGCTGGTGGTGATCGCGGCGACTAGAACTCAGGATGAAGAACGCACGCGAACTGGAGAAGAAAGACAGTGAGCACGCACACGGTTTTTTTTTCTCTTACTGCCCAACTGGCGCAGCGTTTCATTTGCATTGATCTTTGATTACATAGGCTTGAAGCCTTCCACCCCGTCGCACACGACGCCCCCACGATCGACCACTTTTCTCGGATCGGCGCGGGACGTGCGAACGACGTCGCGACGGGGTCACAACCAGACACGGTCACGGCGCAGTTCTCGCACATCAGAGAACGGCCCGCGATTCTACGCTAAAGCAAATGAAAGTTCAAAACAAATATTACAACAGGATTACACGTGACAACTTTTATTTGTATCTAACATATCACCTCCCTAATCCTGTTGCACCGAGATGACGCCAAGCTTCAGTCTGAACTCCACGAACTTGATCCTACCGAGAGGCTTCGTTAGAATATCAGCCACCTGCTCGTCAGTCCCAACGTGATTCACATCAACGATGCTCTTCTCAATGCAGTCTCGAATGTAATGATACCTGGTATCAATATGTTTGCTTCGATCGTGAAACACAGGATTCTTGGCAAGCTCTATGGCGGCGCATCGATTGTCAATCGAAGACCGAACTTCGTGTTTCTCCTCCAACCACTCTGCAATCGACGGCTCAACCACACTCCCCGACAGGCACCAAGTGCTGCAACAATGTATTCGCTTCACAAGATGATAGAGCTACCACCTTCTGCTTTACGTGAAGACCAAGTCACCAGTTTGATCCAAGGAAGAAGATTATCCCAGATGTGCTTTTCCTGCGAACAAGATCACCTGAGCAGATCACTTTGTCGATGTAACCCAACAGATTTAGACCAATCCCATCTCCTTTCTCAAACTTGCGTACCATAGTCAAGTGTGCCTTTGATATATCTCACAATTCTCTTGATCTGCTAACCAATGTTCCTTTGTTGGTGCTTCCACAAATCTGCTAGCAATCCCCACTTTGCATAAGCTATATCAGGCTGGTGTTCACTAGGTACCTTAAGCTACCAATCGGTCTTCTATAACTAGTAACATCCAACTCAAGACTGGCTTAGCAAATAGTCAATTTCAGCCTTTGCTCCATTGGAGTATCACAAGGATTACATCTAGTCATGTTCACCATTTCAACAATCTTTGCTGCATATGCCTTTTGACAGATAGTAATCTGATGTTTCTCTTGCTTTATCTCCATACCCAAATAATAGCTAAGCAAGCAGAGGTCACTCATACTGAAAGTATTTTTCATTTGCTCTTTAAACTCAGCTATCTTCAGATTGTTTGGTCCACAAATTATGAGATCATCAACATATACTCCAACTAGCAACAGGGAGTCTCCTGTGCCTCTTTTATATATTGCATGTTCCACAATGCTCCTCTGAAAACCCAGAGTTTTGAGCTCTTGATCCAATCTTGCATTCCATGCCCTTGGTGCCTGTTTGAGCCCATACAGGGCTTTATTCAATCTCAGCACCTTTCCTGACTGACATGCATCTGTGAATCCAGGTGGTGGATGCACATACACTTGTTCTTGGAGATCACCATTCAGAAAAGCTGATTTTACATCCATGTGATGTACTTCCCAATCTCCATTTGCTGCAAGGGCTAGAACTATTCTCACAGTTTCTATTCTTGCAACTGGTGCATACACTTCATCATAATCCACACCTTGTTTCTGTGCATATCCTTTGGCCACTAATCTGGCCTTGTACTTCACAATGTTCCCAGCAGCATCCCTTTTTACCTTGAAAACCCACTTCAACCCTATGGCTTTGTGACCCTTGGGCAAATCAGACAGTGACCAAGTTCTGTTATCTCTGATAGCCTGCAATTCAGTTTCCATGGCACTTTTCCAGCATTCTTCTTCTAGAGCTTCATCCACACTCACTGGCTCATCTGCAGCAAGAAGACACATGTTGCTATATTCATAATCTTCCATCTCATGAGTCTCATCAAATAGCTCTGACAGTGTCCTGTATCTGAGTGGAACTCCTTCTGAATCTACTGACTGACCTTGAGGTGGTGTAGCCCACTGATTGACTTCTTGTGCAGGTGGGGTTTGTGCATCTGGTGTGTGGACACTTGTTGACCCTTGAGTATCTGCAGAGGATGGTTGGAATTGATTTCCCACAAGAGAACCAACAGCAGGACTGTTGGGCACTGAATCTGCTGCCTCTGATTCTGTTGTCGGACCACCGACAGTAATTGAATGTTCAGTGATGACAAACTCGGGCTGGTTAAGAGATTCTGCATTATTCCAATCCCAACCCAAATTTTCTTCAAATATAACATCCCTACTGATGTGAAGTGTCCTTGTGACAGGATCTAGCAACCTGTAGCCTTTTGTTCCCTCTTCATAACCAATAAAAACCATTCTCTGTGATCTGTCAGACAGCTTCTTGATCCCAGGGCCAATTTTCTTCACATGAGCAATGCAGCCATAGACTCTCATGTGATTCACTCTAGGCTTCTTGCCATGCCATGCTTCATAGGGTGTAATACCATCTAGACTTTTAGTTGGTGCTCTATACAAGATGTATACTGCTGTTGCTACTGCTTCACCCCAAAAACAGGATGGAACATTCTTGCTCTTCATTAAACACCTGGCCATCTCCACCACTGTTTGGTTTCGACACTCCACTACTCCATTTTGCTGGGGTGTGTATGGAGTAGTGGTGTAGTGTCTAATGCCTTGGTCATTGCAAAAAAAACACTGAATTGGGTTGAGTTGAACTCACCACCATGATTAGTTCTCACTGCTTTTAGTTTCCCTTCATGTTTAGTTTCAGCCTTTGCCTTCACCTTTCTGAAATACTGCAATGCTTCATCTTTGGATCTGAGCATCTCAACCCACATAAACCTGCTATGGTCATCAACAATCAACAGAAAATACGACTTGCCACCTGGTGTTGGTGGACTAATCTGACCACATAAATCAGTGTGGAACAACTCTAGACCCCTCTCTGCACGATATGTAGAGACACATGGAAATGGAGCTCTGTGCTGCTTTCCCATAACACAGCTGTCACAGACTTGCTCCACTCGGTCTACAATAGGCATACCAGACACCACGTCTCTTCTGCCAAGCTCTCTCAGTGATCTGAAATTCAGATGCCCAAAGCGTGCATGCCATATCCAGGCTTCATCATCAAGATTTGTCAGTAAACAAATAGGTGAAGTTTGACTGAACTTGTGAGTGTAAAGACGGTTAGCAGTCCTAGGAGCTGAAATCAACAATGTGTTTCCTCCTTTGTCAGTCACACTGCATCTACTATTCTTCAAAGAAACCTCATAACCCTTTTCTTCAAGCTGACCCAGACTGACAATGCTACTTTTCAGCTGTGGTATGTAGTAAATGTCAGTGAGTACCTTGTGTTCCTGTCGACGTCCCTGAATCACCATGGATCCAAGTCCTCGGATCTCGACGCTGGAGCCATCACCAAAACGAACAGTGCCCCGAACACCTTCATTGAGGTGAGTGAGTGCTGCACGAGAGCCGGTCATATGATTGCTGGCTCCTGTGTCTAACACCCACACCCCTTCTGGGCATGCCACCGGAATCACCTTCTTCTCTGACAGATGGACCACCTCGGGTGATGGTTGTGAGACACCACTAGCCACAGCCAGGAGCAAAGCTGGATTGTGATCAGCTCCGACCACGGCTACGTTGGCCTCCTCACGTTTCTCTTCTTTCTTCTGTTTCTTAGGCCTTTTGTAGTCCTCTGCCCAATGCCCATAGATCCCACAATTTCTGCATCTACCTTTTCTTCTCGGTGTTCCTTCAGAGGTGAGCTTGATAGTACCAGTCTTGGCAGAGCCACTTGCATCTGCATGACTTGGTGCCTTGCCTTTTCCCTGACTACCACCACTGCTTCCTCCCTCTTTCTGATTGGAATGGAAACGATGCCTGTGTTTCTCAAGCCAATCCTCTTCAGCAAGGAGCAACCGGCCGGCCTTGTCAGTAATCTGCTCCACCTTCTTTTCCATTCTCTCCTCGGCAACACGCAGTCTAACCACCAGATCATCCACAGATAAATTCTTCACATCACAAAACATCTCTATGGACACTATGACCTGGCTGAAACGAGATGGTGCTACTCAAAGGAATTTCTTAACAACGCGAGAGTCTTCAACATTCTCACCGAGCGATCAGAGGTTGGCGACGAGATTGGTGATCCGCATGCCGAAGTCCTCAACACTCTCCCCTTCCTTGAACTTGACATTCTCAAATTCAGTTAGGAGATTTTGAGCGGTGACCTCCTTGACCCGATCTGCTCCAATCCGCATGACATGCACCGTCTCCCACGCCTCCTTCACCGTCTTCTTCGCACCCAGCGTTCCCCACATCTCCTTGGGAACTGAACGCATCAGCGCCCCCATCACCTGTCGGTCCTGAGACCGCTTGACGTTGGTGCCTGGGTCGATGGTCTCCCAGATCTCCATGGCCTCATAGTTGATTTGCATCAACATAGCCCACTCCGCATAGTTGGATCGCGAGAGCATAGGCCAGACCAGGGAGCTCTCCTTGACAGTGCTCGACGCCGTGCTAGACTCCGCACTGCCACCGCCCATCTTCTCCTTGTCCTCCTTCGGCTTGAAGGGAACGACGTACTTCTTGGGAGGTTCATGCGAGGGGCTCACCGACCCACCATAGAACATCCACTAGCTCTGATACCACGTGTTGGAGCCGAGCTCCGGCGACCGAGCCCGGCGACGATGCAACACCCGCTGGTGGTGATTGCGGCGACTAGAACTCAGGATGAAGAATGCACGCGAACTGGAGAAGAAAGACAGTGAGCACGCACACGTTTTTTTTTCTTACTGCCCAACTGGCGCAGCGTTTCATTTGCATTGATCTTTGATTACATAGGCTTGAAGCCCTCCACCCCGCCGCACACGACGCCCCCACAATCGACCACTTTTCTCGGATCGGCGCAGGACGTACGAATGACGTCGCGACGGGGTCACAACCAGACGCGGTCACGGCGCAGTCCTCGCACATCAGAGAACGGCCCACGATTCTACGCTAAAGCAAATGAAAGTTCAAAACAAATATTACAACAGGATTACACGTGACAACTTTTATTTGTATCTAACAGTTTACTGGACACACTTCTACTGAATCCAATTGATGCTAAATTACACCCGCCTCTCCCACACCCCCCATCCCCCCGCGGTGAACATGCTAGAGAGCTATAAGATTCGTGCCATTAAAAAGGTGAAACAAGCACCCACACATCTTTGGCTGCAGCCTTGAAAAAGCTGCCTGTGCCAGGCAACTAGATCTGACCACAGGCACTCAAATTTGGACGCCTGGGATTGCTGCCTGGGCTAGGGCTAGGCAGCTTTCCCAGGGCGTACACCAAACGGGCACTACTGCCTGAGCTCCACAAACTGATAAGAGAAGGATGACATGGAAAGGCTAGAGAGAATCCATATTCCAGGCTAAGGAGCCGCTGATTATAGCCTGACCTGCTGAAACATGGCAAACCATACCTGTCTTGTGAACACACAATAAACTAGCAAGTGTCGGATAGGTTCATGCTGCTGGATGGGGGTACCCCTAGTTTTGCCAAGCTGTCTACATCTAAAAAAATGCTTGGATGGCATACTAAATGAAATATCAATTCTTATTGTATTCCATTATATAATAATGCCATGGTAGGAAAAAGGAACTTGACCACAGGTTACAGGTTTTTTGCTTTATCTTAATACAAGGCAGTACCGAACGCTTTAGGGCTTGTTCGGATTGTGGAGGGGATTAACCAAACATGGCCTTAGGGATACTCACACGACTTGCGAGCATGAGGGCTTGAGCCTGGGTATGGGATGCTTTACCAACTTCACTGTAGATAGAGGGCAAATAATGTGAGAGGCTCTTATGTAACTGTCTTCTTACATCTCATGGTCTCAAAATTTTCCTGATCAAGTTTAATTATTAGTAGATTCACCACCTACTCTGGATTCAACATGTGGAATCTAGTCATGTAAGAGTATTATCTATCTGTACCCTGATGTTGGCATAGTGCAGGAACAAATAGGGTTAATTGAATACTTTAAGTGATACTGAATATAGTGGTACTGTTTTACCATAAAACTTCCCAAGGATTTAAAATTTGGTACAGAAAAGGTCTATGCTTGTACTCGGGTATTTAATTACAGTCCTTATTTGTTTAGTTACATTGGATATCTAAAATAATAGCACTATTGCCAGCAATGTAAGTGTGGTCTGAATTCCTAATTTTATAATTTTATTTTTCTATTATTCTCAGATAACTTGAGTACCTAGCTAGAGAGTACCAAATCCAACTGTATAACTTGGTTTGCTGATCAAAGCATCTTTCTTGTATGCAGTAATGATGGGAACAAAATACTTTTGTCTCAGTCCAGCCACCAGCTCCAGTATGCATCCGATCTCTAGCTTAAGCTGAATTATTACTGCTGCTGCCCTTAAGTAGATATGTCATGTGTGACCTGCTAAATTCTATATGGTCGTCTTTGATTTGCATTGAATTGTAAATTGAATTGTCTTTGAATGCCTTTGGTGCTACATTGACCTGATGTGTGAATTGCTCCTACAAATAAAGTATAAGGGCGGTATTACAAAAGCTTACGAAATCGGTTTTGTAGAGGCGTGATGTTGATTACTAGATCCTGGCGTCATTGATTTTGTTGCCTCTACAAAACTTTTGTAGGGCATAAAATCATAGTCACCATAATACCGCTTTACGATTCTTTGGAAAGTTTAATAGATGAAATTTGTTGTTTCATTTCAAATTTATAATTCAAATTTGACCAAAACATATATTTTTTATGCACAACTCCATCATGACTTCTCATTGAGTTTCATTACAATGGAAACTCAATGGCAGTCATGATTTATTTATACCAGTTGTGCATAAAAAATATATTCCATGACTTTGAGGTGGAAATTTGAGTCCAGTTAAATGAAACAACAAATTTCATCTATTAAACTTTCCAAACTGATCGTAATAACATTTCATGGTGACTATGATTTTTATGTGAAAGACCATGTAATAACAAAATCAATGGCACTCAGATCTAGCAATCGAACATCACAAAATCAAAGCTTCTAATAATCCTTCCACTTGCAGAGTTGCAGTCACACATCAGGTCAATGTAGCACTAAAGTAGACCGAAAACGGAATTCGTAATTCAGCAGGTCACACATGACATATCTATTTAAGGGCAGCAGCAGTAATAATTCAGCTTAAGCTAGAGATCGGATGCATACTGGAGCTGGTGGTCTGAGAACCGCCCCTACAAATGCATGATTTGTAGAGGCGCTTGGGTAGGGGCGGCTGGGCAAACCGTCCCTACAAAGCCTCTAGAGCCGCCCCTATAAATACTATATGACGTAGTGAAGGCCTCCTAAACCCATATTGCAGTGCTACAGAACTGAAACAATAGTTGCTGGCATTGGAATGAAAGGGATGGTGTGGAAGTTGGAGAAAGGAGGCAACCAGGCCATGTAATTTATAGAGCCAATTGATGACAGAGTAGAATAGTAAAGCGTAGAAAGATAGAAAGGTTTGGGGAGAATCACCACACACCCATTGTGTGTGGGGGGGGGGGAGTGCTTCATATATATATATAGGGCCATGTACAAGTACAATGCGTACAATACGCTAGCTATAAATAGACAATCCACTAGCTGTACAATAAGCCTAATACTCGCTCGCAGTCGTAGCGGGAGGATCACGAACGCACAGACTGGTCCGAAAATCCAAAAACAGCTGTACAGGGAGACCCTTGGTCATGATGTCGGCGAACTGGTGTGCCGAGGGGACATGGAGAACGTGAACTTGTCCCATAGCAACCTTCTCACGGACGAAGTGGATGTCGATCTCGATATGCTTGGTACGACGATGATGGACGGGGTTGGCAGTCATATATATAGCGCTGACATTGTCACAGCAGACGATCGTTGCCAAGGGAACCGAGACGTGCAGCTCCTAGAGGAGTTGCCGCAGTAGTCGCACTCGGCCACCACATGGGCCACTCGGTACACTAGAGCGGGACACCGTAGTCTGGCGCTTGGAGGACCAGGACACCAGATTGTCACCGAGGAAGATGCAGAAGCCGGAGGTGGAGAGGCGTGTGTCAGGGTAGCCTGCCCAGTCAGCGTCGGAGTAGGCGGTGTGCTGGCCGATGGGTCCAGTGCCCAGGTGAAGACTGGCGGAGAGGGAGCCCTTGATGTACCGGAGAATGCGCCTGATCAGCGCGCAAGGTGAGGCTCGTGGGGATCATGCATGAACAAGCACACCTGTTGAACAGCATATGCCAAATCAGGACGCGTCAAAGTGAGGTACTAGAGGGCGCCCGCGAGACTCTGGTACTCGGAGGGGTCAGCCACCAAGGCGCCTGTGTTGGCGGACAACTTGTTCCGCGCGTCCACGGGCATGGTAGTGGGATGGCATTCAGGCATGGCAGCCCATCGGAGAAGGTCGACGGCGTACTGACGCTGCGACAAGAACAGACCCGAGCTATTGCGCGTCACGGAGATGCCGATGAAGTGGTGAAGGTCACCAAGATCCGTCATGGCGAACTCGGAGTGGAGCCGTGCCATGATGAGTTGTAGCAACTCATGGGACGACGCCGTGACTATGGTGTCATCGACGTGGAGGAGCAGGTATGCGACACGATCTCTATCCTTGTAGACAAACAGAGATGCGTCGGACTTGGACGCAGTGAAGCCCATGCTGCAGATGTACGTGGCGAACCGCTGGTTCCACGCCCTGGGCACCTGCTTAAGCCTGTACAAGGACTTTCTGCAACAGACAAACATAGTCAGGTTTGGCGGGGTCAACGAAGCCAGACGGCTGCTAGCAGTAGACAATCTCCTCGAGGTGGCCGTGGAGGAAGGCGTTCTTCACGTCTAGCTGATGGATGGGCTAGACACGCAAGGCGGTGATGCTGAGGATGGTGCAGATCGTCGTCGGTTTGACAAGTGGGCTGAATGTCTCGTCGTAGTCGACGCCAGCCTGCTGTGAGAAGCCGCGAACCACCCAACGCGCCTTGTGCCGGGCAAGGGA